TGCCTTAAAAATGTTTACACTAGCTGTGGCCAATGTGGCTGCGTGGTTGGAGCGTTGGCCCTCACACCAAAGGGTCTCTGGTTCAATTCCAGTCAAAGGCATGTGCCTGGGTTGCAGATCCAATCCCTGGCCCCAATCCAGGGATGTATGAGAGGCAACCAATCCAGGTGTCTACTTCACATCGATGTTTCTCTCTCTCTTCCACTCCCTCCCTTCCTTCCACTCTCTCTAAAATTCAATGGAAAAAAATATCCTAGGGTGAGAGGATGAACAACAGTAACAAAAATGTTTATACTACCTGATCCACCAATTTAATAATCTAAACTATGAATGTAACTAAAAATTCAGATAGATTTAAGGACAAAGATATTTAAGGCTTTGTGATTTATAAATATGAAAAACTAGAAAACAAAATGACTATCAATGAAGGAAAAGTTAATAAATTATACAATGGAATTATCTTCAAAATACACATAAAATGAGAAAACGTTCATGATATTCTGTTATATGGGGGAAAAGAAATCAAAACAGTATATAGGGTATGATCACACTTTGTTTAAAAATAAAGCAAAAAAACAACAAAAATATTAAAAATACTTTTCTCCGCTCCTATTATTTCCTATTTTCTGAATATTTTCAAATTTTCTATAAGGTATTTCTATTTAAATTGTGAGAAGAGGATAAAAATAAACCATTTTCACCCTGGCATAGTTTGAAAGTATTTATTTGTAAACAAATAAACACTGATCCTAATAAGATATTTTGGGAGAGTTATTGATTTGTGACCAGTAAAATTAACTGAATTATTATTCAATAGCAAATAATTCATAATATTATGTAACATAGCATTATTATTTTTTTTAATCTTCACCCAAGGATATGTTTATTGATTTTCAGAGAGGGGTACTGGAGGAGGAAAAGGGGAAGAGAGGAAGAAGAGGAGGTGAGGAGAGGGGAGAAGGCGGGGAGAGAAAGAGAAAGAGAGAGAGAGAGTGAGAGAGTGAGAGAGAGAAAGATCAGAGAGAAGCATCGATCAGTTGCCTCTCATATGCTCCCCCGACATAGGTATGACAGGAAGTCAAACCCACAACCTTTCCGGGTATGGGCTGATGCTCCAACCCACTGAGCCACACCAGCCAGGGTTATAGCATTAATTTTTATCCATTTCCTTCAGATATGTAAAAGTAAATTGAAACACTTAAAACTGTTTAAGTGAGAATTTTTTTAGTCACCACATCAAATCATTATCACCATTAACTGCCTTGATATTAATAGTTTTTACTTTAAAAGGTGATTTAAATTCATCTAACACAAATACTTTCTTAAAAAATACTTGCATATTTTATCAAGAATATACAGGAAAATAACTTTCATTTTAAAGGCTGATATCATAAAAGCATATATAAAAATAAACCAAGCTATCTAAATAGTACTTCAAAATAAATTTCTTCCTTTTTACTCATTTTTAAATATTTTTGGATCCCACCATTTTATTGAGGGCCTTCGGGTGAGGGCTAAAGGCTGGGAGGACAAACACATCTGACATCCTCGGCCTGGCCAGACTCTCCCAGCTCCGGAGCCACCAAAGCAATAAACTTCACCTGAATCTCGCATACCTTTTCTCCAATATGTCCAAGTCCCACTTCAAATGTGCAGCCACTTTCAGAGCAAGTAGCTTTAAAATGCGATTTCTCTTGTTATCCGGTGGAGGTTGAACTTGGTTTTGTTCATTAACTGAAGGTTTGGAAGCCTGTTCCAAAAACTGAACTATAAGTTGAACCGGTGCAGGATCTAGGATTGAAAAGAAAACAAACTCTTCAAATTAAGTTGTCATTAGGAAGATGCAAAGGGATTGAGCGTTCTGGTTTACGGCAACAAAAGGAACCCAAGCAGCTGTGTAGTTGTAATGACTAAGGAATACGATATGTAAGACCTGTGCCTGGGAAAGGGGGAAGGTCAGGAAGAGGAGTAAAGAGGAAGGGATAAAGACGAGTGTCCAGCCCTCGCCGGTTTGGCTCAGTGGATAGAGGGTCGGCCTGCGGACTGAAGGGTCCCGAGTTCAATTCCAGTCGTGGGCTCCATCCTCATTTGGGGGCGTGCAGGAAGCAGTCAATCAGTGATTCTCTCTCATCATTAATGTCTCTCTCTCTCTCTCCCTCTCCCTTCCTCTCTGAAATCAATTTTATATATATATATATATATATATATATATATATATATATATATATTTTTTTTTTTTTTTTTTAAAAAGGAGTATTCACATGCAGAAGAAAGCGCGTGGCAGGTAAGAAGAGCACGGCCACAGATTTCCAGCCCAGCAAATAAACAACGTTCGGGATGAAACCACCAGCATGATTGTTTCAAAACTTAATTGGTCGCACTTGCATCAACTACCTCCCTACACCTGCCCAGCGGAGATAACACCCCTTACCTCACAGGCCTATGATGAGGAACGAGTTCAATGAGATGAGCCCTGAAGCATTAAGCACAGAGCCTGACCCCCGGAAGGCACTTCACAAACGTTTGTCAAGAGCAACGAGTTAAAAACAACAGGACACAGGCGGTAACATGACCGGGGAGAGCACACTCACGCCTCCCGCAGTCGTTTTCCAGCGGTTAAAGCCGGTCTCTTCGGCTGCCCGAACCACACCGGATCCCCACCTGACCAGCAAAGCCCTGCCCCAGGAGGTGCCTGTCCACCCCAGGGCCGTCCCAGGGGGGCCTGGAAACCGCCTTCCTCCCCAACAGCCCTCGGCCGGGGACGCCCATCACTGCCACCCTCAACAACAGCCACCTGCAGCCGCACGGCCTTCCCTGTCCTCCAGGACGTGCCCACTGTGAGGTGCGGCCCCGCTTTGCAATACACAGTAAGAAACCCTCTCGTCCAGGAACGAACAGTCAAGTGAGCACCGACGGCATCGCTGGCGTCAGGATTACACCGGAGCCGTTTCTATCCCCCCAACGCCCCCACCACTGATCACACGGCCGGGGGTCTGCTGGAAGCCAGCCCCCGCCAGGCAGCCATCTCCGGGGACCACCGTGCGGTGCTCAAACCGCACGCAGTACAAGGACCGGGACACGGGGACCGAAGAGCCTGCTCCGCGCCCGGACGCCGCCTGCGCAGTGAGGGTCCCGGGCTGCCCGCGGCTTCGGGGGCCGGGAAGCCCGCCGGGCAGCCCGGTGGCCGGGCCCCGCTCCCCTCGGGCCGCCGGCGCCGCGCTCACCCGGGCAGGGCTTGCGGAGATGTTTCTCCAACAGCGACTCCTCCAACCAAGAACTCCGAACCAGCAGGTCTTGCGGCGGGGTGCAGGGCCGGCTGGAGGTGGCCGCCTCCCGGTCCGCCGCCTCCGCGCTCATCCTGCCCCCGCCGCCGCTACCCCCAGGGACGCTGCCCGGCTCCAACCTGACACTCGGACGGACGCGGGCCCGGGAATGCGACCCGCGGAACCGCTGGGAACGCGGACGCGCTCAGACGCTCCCGGAACCCCGCACGACCTAAGATGGCGGCGGCCCCGGCGGAGGCGGAGCCCCGGGCCCCGCCCCCCTGCGCCGCCGGCCAATCGCGGCTCGGGTTGGAGAGGAAGAAGGCGGGACCGACCCACAGACCACGCCCCTGCGGGTTACCGCGGGAGATGATTGGGGGAAGCTGGGTCCCAGCGGGCTTTTCGCGTTTTTCTGGGAGTTTCTCGGCGAGTGAAAGAAACACCCTGATTAGGGTTGCGACGAGCCTCGACGTCTTCTTGGAAGACTGTGAGCCCGTCTCAGCGAGGGAGCAGGGGTAGCAGCTGCTCCGCGAGTTTCGCGGTGCTGCCCAAGGACAAGCAGGAGGAAGATGCTGGGAAGTCGGCCAAGAAAGACAAAGACCCAGAACAGATCGGGGTAGTCCCGAGGCAAAGTGCCGGACGAGCTCAGCAGCCTAGTCCTGCTTGACAAAGCAACGCGTGCCCAGCTGTTGCCTCTGAGACTGAAGATCCTCGGTTCCTGGCCAGGGCAGCCCTCAGCTCCTCGGTAAAGGGCTTACTCAACTAGTGTCAAAGCACAGAGCCCAGGTAATTGACACCAGGAACACCAAAGGCCTCGATGCCCCAGGTGTTGGCGAAGATGCATGAACAACAGGTCCCACCAGCTGCACGTTCTGAAAAATTAAACTTTATTAAATTAAAAAAAAAAGTGAGCCAGGCAGTTTGTCTCGGGTGCTTTCAATTTCCCCATTTCCGTTTCTGAGGTTTCCTCCCACCTGGGTCGTCCCGAAGGACTTGGCCCGCAGCGCCCTGGTCCCCTTCCTCTTCCTCCAGGGATGACAGCCTGCAGCGAGATGCAGACTTTGTCAGTTCTCGGGCTAGCTCTCAATATTTAGCTCCTATGCAAACCTCTTGATGTCCCCGCTATTGGTATTGTTAACCCCATTTACAAAGTAAATATGTTCAAAATACATATAATCATGTATGTCATTAAGGTTTAAGAAATCAGTACAGCCCTGGCCAGTGTTGGTTGGGCGGCGTCCTGTGCACTGAAAGGTTGCCGGTTTTCGGGCACATCCCCAGTAGGAGGTGTGCAGGAGGCAGCTGATCGATGTTTCTCTCTCATTGATGTTTCTAACTCTCTATCCCTCTCCCTTCCTCTCTGTAAAAAATCAATAAAGTATATTTAAAAAAAAAAAAAAAAAAGGTTGCCGGTTCCATTCCCAGGCCATGGTGGTCAACAAGAACAAGTGCCTTAAGAAAGGTGGCCAAAGGGAGCCAAGAAGAAAGTGGTTGATCCATTTTCTAAGAAAGATTGGTATGATGTGAAAGCACCAGTTATGTTCAATATAAGAAATACCACTATGTATTAGAAAAACACTAGTTATGAGAACTCAAGGTTTATGTATAAATAAAAAATAACAAACATTTTCCAAGAATTTTATTATGGAAACACAGGGAGTGTAATTAAGCATGAAATAATTTCACTCATGATAATAGAGACACATCATAAAAATGTGAACTAGTTGACACCCCAACTCTTTTAAAGGACTTATACTTACTGAAATTAATTTTTATTCTTTTGCAAAGACATAACCTTAGTTACAGGATGAGCACATTTAATCTATTCAATGTAATAGATATAATTCATAAGTCAACATACATAAAACCAGTTGTATTCATCTTTGTTAAACAGCTGTACAAAGCTATTAACATAAAATATGAAAGGATTCTTTAGGAAATATTTCAAGCCATGTCTGGAATGCATGTTTCTTTCTGATACTATTATCCCACTAATTACAACGGTCAGATGTTCAGTGTATCTCCTATAGAACTGCACATAGGATTATATATATCGATATTAAAATATTGCAAATTCTAAGAAACTTATAAACAGATTTGGTTCCAAGATGCCTTTATATTAAGTGCAGCAAATCTTTTTTATTATGAAAAACAAGTTTAATGTTTAGAAACCTTAATGGATGAAACATAGTTGAATCAAATATATTCCTTTGCAATTTTGTCCTCTAATTTTATTTAAACTGTTAACTCTACACATTAAAAAACTTAAGCCATTGTTTCAATAAGAAATTGTCAATTTCACTTGCAACTTTTTTAGAGCTGTACTTTTAACACATATTGGGATCTAAAACTATTAGCAAATAGCAAAAACTATTTTAAAAACTGGACCAATACAGAGAGAATATATTGATGCAAATCAGGAAGTAGTTATTTGCTTTACAGAAGATTCTTAAATATGCAGAATAATTCATAACATATGCCCTCTAAATGTTTATGCATTTAAAATAAACGTACAAAAAAAAATCAACTGACATACAACTTTTAGAAACCCCACCAATTTTATAAAGAGAGGCACTAGTTTTACCCACAAAAGGCATAAAAATGTTTTAACAGTTCAAAATAGACGGGCCAAGTAACAATTTTTCAAAAACAAAACAGTTTAATCAGATTCACTGTGTCCTTCAAGAAATTCATAATTTTTAAAGCACATTTTTCAGCCCTAACTTGTAACACACTTTGACCTCCATTTCTGCTTTTCCTTGAATCAATCCGGACTGTGTGGAAGAGTGCCCCGACACAGAGGCACTGGCAATGTGGGTTCATATCCTGAAAAACATGCTGTCTACACACAAGTAATAAAGAAAGAAGTTCCAAAGTGCAATGCATACTCCTGAGGTTGTAAAACCCACCAGTCTAACAAAAAGCACCAAGATACAGATGCCAAAGGCAGAATAAACAGAAACCAGCAGAGAGTCAATGTCACAGACCTTATCAAGTAAGTTTTATTTGTTGGATTGTTTTGCATTTGGGAGCTAAATAAATGAATTTAGCAAGCTAGAAATCTCATCTCTGCCCTTAACAAAAATTTGCTTATTAGTGAAAATAGAATAGTGAGATTGTGCTTAATAATAAGGAAAAAGTTACCAAAATTTTCTTATGGAAAAAAAAGAAATGGATAATATTTTTTCAAAAATATGAAGTAAACTTTGAAATGAAGACATTAAGGCACTTATTTCAATGTTTTTAAGGGCAAAGTATGTTTTATATTTCTTGAAGAAATTCCTTCCACACAAATACAACAAACTTTGCTCCTTACATAATAGATTTTTTTTTTAATCCTCACCTGAGGATATTTTTCCATAGATTTTTAGAGAAAGTGGAAGAGAAAGGGAAAGACAGACAGAAATGTCAATGTGACAGAAACACATTGATTGGTTGCCTGCTGCACATGCCCGACCAGGGCCAGGGCCAGGGAGGAGCCTGCAACCCAGGTACGTGCCCTTGACCAGCGAGGGCACATAATAGATCTTTATTGTCAAACTTAACAACTGTAAGTTACCCAAACAGGATTACTTACAGAATGCTTAATCATTTGTTACTCTACAAATATGTAAGGAAATTAATTAAATGCACTCAGTTTTCCAGTACTATTGTTTTAACTACAGTTAAAATAGAAACAAATAAGCTTACTTCTCATATCCAGTATTATTATTTCTATATTGAAGATCACTTTTCCTTTTTAACTGATGCTGAATGAAAAATTCATTATTTCAAAAATTCAATTAAAAGTTTCTCCAAATCTGTTTTATTTAAGAAATAAGTTGACAGAAGCAAAAGCAACTTACTAATATACCACAAACAAAAATAAAACAAAAAACACACAACAAACTAATTCTGCATATTTGATTATAATGTAAATCAATAAAAATTCAATTAAATATTTCATGCTGCATAGAAAATAGGCTGTTCTATTTCCCTTTCAAAATATGGAAGCTGACTTTTAAGTCACAACGTTTTACATGTTCTACGTACTTAGGTTAACCATGGAAATATTTTCATAAGGCTTGAAGCTAAATATTAGTGACTCACTATTAAGATGTACAGAGAACCTGAAATACCCTGCCTACAGCTATCTTAATAGAATTGTTAAAAATTACATAAAAGCTTGAGAACTAATAAAATTAATGCACCAGATATGGCACAGCCATCAAACAATCCTTAAGCCCCAAAAGAGCAAAGCATCCTAGAGCTAGTCTAAGAATGACTGTGCCTGTGTACTTTTAAAATATATTACAGAAAATAAAGATAATGGAAAGATGCTCCCTTTTAATGTAGAGTAGTGAAACTGATTTTTACAGCACTTTGAAAACCTGGTCACTAAACAGATATACAAGATAAAAATAAACATGCATCCCCCCATCCTAGCCAAGTAAGTCATTTTAGATTTTCTTTTAATAAGCGATTAAAATACGAAAATATTTAACTTAGAGGAATTAAGTGCTGTGAATTTTATAATTGTCATTTGATTCTTAATGTTGAAGACTGCCTCACAGTTTCACAAATAATAGCACTTTTGTTTTATAATACGCCTATCTGTAAACAGAGGTATATTTAACAGTATCTGCACATATCTCCAGAAACTGTAGCTCGTTTTAGTGTACATATTTTTATTCTGATAACAATTTTTTACCTAATATTTTAGTATAAAACATGTGTATAGGTTATAAATCCCATATTTGTATTTTTTAAAAACCTGATCAAGATTCTTATAAATGTCTGTTTTAAAAAATATGTAGGTACAGAGAGTTACTATTTATGATGATTAAATTCATATCAAGTTTATGAGCATAAGTGACAAAAGCTAACCACTTAAAAGTCATAAAGTAATAAAATGCAATATCATGCACTATGTAAATTACTAAGAAAGTGCTCACTTATATAAGCAGCAGATGAGAACAGTATCATGGAAAATCTGGATATACCTTTATATATATCCTTAAAAATCACTTTCCTTTATGCCATTTCCACTTTAATTTAAATGCCACATATTTTCAGCTAACATTTACGTTAGCTATTTATTGTAATATTTCAGTCCTATTATAAAGCATAAAATACCTTTAGAAACTGCCTTGAATGTAAGAATAATTCTTCTTCTATTCTATAATTATATCATATTAAGTATATATTAAATGTTATGTTTGAGAAATATACTCAGACCATGAATATATTCAAATTCAAGATCAATGTTATGATAAAATAAAGATTTCTGAGGAAATTTTTATAATAGTTTGGAAGGTGAAATCTTGAAAGACCATGTAACAGTAAGAAGAATCCCTGGCTGGAATACTGCAGAGTGGTAAGCTATAACATTTACCAAAGGCCAGTGATGCTTAATCTTCTATTCCCCACAGAACTCTGGGTCCAGTTAACGGCAGGAGAGGAAAAGCAGCAGCAACACTTCAAATGTCCAGATTCTGATTTCCAAAAAGACCCCCATTGGTAGAAGAAAATCAACATTTTACTTCAGATGGAATAAGTCTCTACTATTTTCAAGACTGAAAGGATATCACAGTGTTGATTTTATATACAAAGTAGGACCTGTTCCAATACACTCTAGTGAAATAATTCACATATGGAGAATAGTTAATTTTGACCTCATGACAAAATCGCCCATATTTTGAGTAGGTTAACTTGTCACCGTCTTCACAAACCACCTATCAAGAGATATGAAACATAATATTAAAAGCTTATTAAGGTTATAGGATAAATAAAAGCAATGTACAAATGATTACATTCATATGGAAATATATTATGCTAAACATGAACTATCTCACATTATTCAGTGAACATCTCATATTGTTTAGCGAATAGAAGCCTCTTCATTAAGAGAGTAACCACATACACTAAACTTTTGAGCATCCCATTGAGACTGAGAAACCAGTATAAAGTGTTTCTAATTTTTAAAATATTTAATTCTAAAATGTAGAAGGCTATATCTCCATAGTCCATTAAGAACCTTATCATGGCTGAGAAATGAACATCAGGGTGGGGCAAAAGTAGATTTACAGTTGTTCATGTAGAAAATAATACGCTAATAGAGAATACAAGAACACACTCTGTTTCCGCATACTCACAACTGTAAACCTACTTTTGCTTAACCCTGTATTTTTAAAATTTTGATTTGAGAGAGAAACATCAATCAGCTACCACTCATATGCACCCAACTGGGGATTGGGCTGCAACCTGGGTATGTGCCCTGACCGAATATCGAACCCACCATGTTTTGGTGCACAGGGCAACACTAACCAACTGAGCCACACTGGCCAGGGATCTATTAGTAATGTATATTCAAACATTTCTCCTGGTGTAGAACTGACTTACACTTATCTAGCAAACAAGTAAATTTTTATGACTTATCCAGTGCACACCTTTACATTCCCACCTTAATGATGTTCACTGAGATGGCTTAGCTAGCTTGAAGGATTTTCTATAATAAAACACTAAATGTTATTCTAATGCCAACAAAAAATGTCAGAGAGCCAACTTTAAGAGTAAAATGATAGATTAGCTTTAAGTCCATGCCTGGCATTATATGCAAGTAAACTGATCTTGGAGCATAAAGGTAGCCAAAAGCAGAATAAAAAGGCTCCAGATAGCAGATAGCAATACAGTAATTACTGAATAACTGTGATGTTTACTAAAATTCCATTTTGTCACCAATTAAGCAAAAGATCTCAGATGTCAAGTACCAACAGAGAAAATTCAAAATACACGCAGCAGAAAACAGAATAGGTTTATATTACAAATTTAAGAGGTCATGAAGAAAGAGAAAGATGAAAATTATAAAAACTAATTTCTCACCTCCAAACTGGTCTGATAAGACAACTGATTATTTAGGAAAGAACGGAAAAAATATTGGCCGCAACCTGAATAGAATGTGCACTCCAACCTAGAATGATCTAATGACCTAATAAACTTTTCCTAAGGTCCTCCACACTCAACTTTCCCAGGAGTAAAGGTACCCATTCCAGACAACACTGCCCTGCCAGTCTTCTTATTTGCTACACATACAGTATACACTACAGACTGAGAGGTAAGATAGTAGATATGTATCAAATTACAATAAATTTCTCAACATAAGAATATAACATTGCCCAGCTGGTGCTGCTCAGTGGTTGAGCATTGGCCCATGAACCAGGAGGTCACGATTCATTTCTCGTTCAGGGCCCATGTCAGGGTTTCAGGCTCAATCCCCAGAGGGGGCTTCCAGGAGGCAGTTGATCAATGTTTCTCTCTGATCAACGTTTCTATCTCTATCCCTCTCCCTTCCTCTCTAAAATCAACAAAAACATATTTTTAAAAAAAGGACATTGCAACCAGCTCCTCTTTAGATTATTATGAGTTAAAATCATTCAAATTATACCATCTTTTTATTTTTTAATGTTTTTTCAGTATTATTTTGTATCGGTTTCAGATGTATAGCATGGTAGTTAGACAATTATGTACTTTAAAAAGTATTCCCCCTGATATTTCTAGTACCCACCTGGCACTGTACATAGTTATCACAATATTACTGATTATATTCCTTATGCTGTACTTTATATCCCTGGCCATCTTTTGTTTATAAATGTTGAACATGCATAAGTATAGGTAATAAGTAAGAAATCCACATATTGGAAAAAAATCCGCCCCCCAAAATATCCAACTTTTCTTTTGTATATTGAAAAAATACTTCAAACTACTTTTAGTAAGTTCTGCCCATTGTTAAATAACTTTTAATTATATTCTTAGCTAAGTTCCCAAACTAAGTTGGAAGATTACATGTTTAAATAAAGTCATTTTTCTCAAAAATAATTCATTTCCAAAAGGTTACTTACATGGCCATTTGCAATGTCTAATAAATCTTTAACCCTACAGCCTCTCATGGTTCCCACCTCATTGCAGATAGCATCCTCTACAATTAGGTAATTAGCTTTGTAAGATGTCAGTATTTTATAAATATCCTCAGCAGATCGCTTTGAATAGATTTGATAGATCTGAAAGAATATCATTAAAGCAATTATGTTAAAGGACATTCAAAACTTTTGTTAAGCAAAACTATACATTAAGCATCCACTATGCTCTTTCTTTCTCTATTATGTTCTTAGGACTGAGTACTATCTGTGGAAAATAAAGATATTCACTGAAACTTGATTCCTGCCTTCAGGAAGTTTATAAAAGTACTAGAGGCTCAATGCACGGATTCTTGCACCAGTGAGATCCCTCGGCCTGCCCTGTGGGGATCAGGCTGACACTGGCAGTCCGACATCCCCCAAGGGGTCCTGGAGTGCGAGAGGACACTCTGCAAAGTTGCTGTCACTCGGTAGCTCCTACGTTGAGCATCTGCCCCATGCTGGTCATTGCACGTCATAGCTACCAATGGGTCTGCTGGTCGGCCAGTCAGCTGGTCACTTAGGCTTTTATATATATAGATTCCTATGCAATTAGCCATTTGTATATCGTCTTTGGAGAAATGTACATTTAAGTCTTTTTTATATTCTTAATTTTTTATTTACTTACTGATTTTAGAAAGAGAGAAAGGAAGGAAGGGAACAAGGGAGGGGAAAGAGAGAAAGAGAGAGAGAGAGAGAAACATTGATTTGTTGTCCCACTTATTTATGCACTCATTGGTTGATTCTTGTATGTGCCCTGACCAGGATCAAAACCACAACCTTGGCATATAAGGATGATGTCTAACCAACTGAGCTACCCAACCAGGGCTACATTCAAGTCCTTTGCCCATTTCCCCTCAGCTTTATTGAAATATATCTGACATATAACATCATGTGCATTTAAAATATACAATGCACTGATTTAATATATTTAAATATGGCAAAATGATTACCACCATAATGTTAGCCTCCATTATGTCACATAATTACCATTTCTTTTTTGTGGTAAGAACATTTAAGATCTACTCCCTTAGCAACTTTCAAGTATAAAATAAAGCATTAATAGCTATAACCACCATTTCGTACATTAGATCCCCAGAACTTACTCATCCTGTAACTGGAAGTTTGTATCCTTTGACCAACATCTCCCAATTTCCTACCCTGTAGACCAGGGGTCCTCAAACTACGGCCCGTGGGCCACATGCAAATACAAATATTGTATTTGTTCCCGTTTTGTTTTTTTACTTCAAAATAAGATATGTGCAGTGTGCACAGGAACTTGTTCATAGTTTTTTTTTAAACTATAGTCCGGCCCTCCAACGGTCTGAGGGACAGTGAACTGGCCCCTTGTTTAAAAAGTTTGAGGACCCCTGCTGTAGACCCTGGTAAGCACTCCATGTTTCTATGAATTCAGCTTTTAAAAATTCAATATATAAGTGATATCATACAATATTATCTTTCTCTATCTGACTTATTTCCCTTAACATAGTGCACTCAAGATTCATCCCTGTTGCAAATGGCCTTTGCCCATTTTTAAATTAGTCTTTTTATCATTGAGTTGTGATAGCTCCTTTAATCTTTTATATTACCATGTATCAGAGTATTTTATACTCATTCTATACATAAAATAAAGTCAGCAAGGTTAAAAATAACCTGACCATTGTCACAAAATATTGAATGAGCCAAGGATGCCTAAAATTCAAGTTTTGATTTCATGGGATTTTTCATTTCAATTTTTCTCTTTAATTTTTTTAAAAATTTGATTTTTAGAGAGAGAGGAAGGGATAGACAGATAGATAGATAGATAGATAGATAGATAGATAGATAGATAGATAGGTAGATAGATAGATGACATCCATTTGTTGTTCCACTTATTTAGGCATTCATTGGTTGATTCTTGTATGGGCCCTGACTGGGGATCTGCCCTAATAATTAGGTCATGTCTCCAGACATTGCCAAATGTCCCCTAGGGGCATATTGTCCCAGGTTTGAGAATCACTGGCATAGGAGAGCATACAAAAATCAGTCACATGTCATGAATTATAGATATATGTCTAATTCAAATGATATGGTCTCTGAACATTAAGTAACTAGATACCATTCTAATGTTATACTAAGTATAACAGCCCACAATGAAACATAAACCACAGTGTAATAGATTTTTAGCTTGGAAATACAAAGTGTATCAAGACATTAATTGACTTCTTTCCTTCAATAATTTGAGAATAATTATATTATGTAGCTTTTTAAAAATTAAAGCTAATTAACTCTTTTAAAATTATTTGGATTTTCCCAGCTAATCAGGAACATATGCATCATTACAAAACTATACTAAAATAGAGTGATGTTAAAAAAGATCCAAATATAGAATTTAAAATGCCTTACATTTTCGTTTCTCTTGAGAAGATCATCATCATTGTAAAGAGGCAAGCTTGTCACCATCCATCCAGTGCATAATTTAATCGCACCCATTAACTGTGGACTCCCTGCAAACACAGCTGCAACTGGAGCTTGCCTTCTGCAAAGAACCATAGAGATTTAGACACTGGAAAGGTAAATATACTATTTAGATCACTCATTTATATAAACTCTGAAATACCAAGCAACTTACAATATATTTTATACTTATGTTTCAATGTCAGCCTTCACTTCATTTTATTTATGGATCCATTAAAAAATAAACTGAGCACCTACTATGTATTAGGAATGATTCTGAGTGCAGAAGATATAGAAATTTTTTAAGGAGGGGGGTGTAGATAAGATCCTTGCTTGAAGACAATCTATATACATAAAAGCCAAGTGACCGGAATGACCAGAACGATCGATCACTATGACGCGCACTGTGGCCAGACAACCGGCCCAATCAGGGGCTGGATCAGGGGCGGGGCCAGCCAGACAACCTCCCTCGGTCCCTCACCTCCCCTGCCGGCCCGGCCTGATAGGCCCCTGTGCATGAATTCATGCACCAGGCCTCTAGTAAACATATAAATCAGGTGGCACATGGACAAGTCAATTCCATGCTCTCAGCTGATACCTACCCAAACCTAGACATGTGAGAGAGGCCATGCCAGACTATCCAAACCCAGCTGAGCTGGCCTGGACCAGAAGAATCCTCCCCACTGCTAACCCTCAAAATGGGGCAAAATAATAAGGTTATTGTTTGTAAGCCACTAAATATTGTGGTAGTCTACTATGCCATAAAACTAATTGACACAAAATAATTTTATTTTCAGAAATTACTAAAGGTCTAATTCTAGAGAGCTGGATTCTTACTGTTAGACTGTCTCCTCGTGTGTTGTGTAATTTTACAGAGAATCTTCATGAAATGTTACTTGTGGAACCCTCTGAGTTGAGGATATGTCAGGTCTTTCAGACCAACCCAGAGCCACTTTTTATGTTGATTTCTTGATTTGGGGTTTCCTAGATTAGTCAAGTATAATTTCAAACTACAAACCCTTGTTAATTCAGATCCATTGCTACAAATTCAGAGATATTTTTTTGACCAAGAGCTGAGGTCAAAAAAGGTCATGCTTTCTGATCATTTTTCTCTACCACTGGATGGATCGTTTGCTAGTCTATCCTTTCACTGGTAGTGTTACCCTCTGAGAGCCCCTTGGTTATATATGTGTATATTGGGGGAGGGGGAAAGTTGTCTCAGTTATAATTCTCTGCTTCCATAGGCCTAAAATCCTATCTCTTGTATTGGGTGGGCATTAAAATTGAAATAAAAAATCTTGGTAACCTTAATTACCAAGACTAGCAATCCACCATTTGTCCAACTCCAACCTAGGGAACACCCTATGACTATTCAAATAAAAGGTATTTGTTCCTTTTTATTCCACATTTCTAGGTGTTTGATGGCAGAGAGTCTCAAATCTCAGACTTATCAATGCTATATCTTCAAAGGAGATCAGTTCATTTAGAAAATTAGAATTGTAAATCCAATAAAAAATTAAATATCCCTAAAAATACAATGTAAAATTTTATGAGAATTTGAAAAAACATTATTATTTACCCTGAATCCATAAGATAGCACACAATGATTAATTAATAGTTTAACAACAGTATTGGGCAGTTCAGTTCTTACTTTATCCAGGTCATAAGTTCCACTGTATCTGGGTCATAGAATTCTTGTAGTTCAGTTAATTCTGTCATTAATCTTGGAAAAAACTAAAATGCAAAAACAAAACCCACCCAAAGAATAAGTATCTAGAAAGTCTAAAACTTTTCCAGAGTATTTGAAAAGAGACTTGTTTACAAACAATTTTAGAACACTGTTCTGACAGTGACCTGCTCAGTCTTCTCAACCCAAATTATATTTTATGGTTAATTTACTGTCTAGACTCAATAAATAATTTTATAATTACCAAGCAATTACCAGTTGTGTCTTTTATGCACACACATCATAAATAATTTAAATTAATTAATTTGGGGTCAAATAGTTCACATGTTTATTGGCGATTAGTTTCATCCTATATTGTAATTTATATTATTTTATAAATATTTACATTTTGGAGTTGCCAAAATACTTTTTAATATAAACACTGTTTATTCAGCAATTTCCTTTGCCAATTATAAATTGAATTAATGACAGTATTAGACAACAGAAAATTGCATCAGATGGTATTCTAAAAATATTTTAACTTTTCTATCATGTTCTTAATGATAAAAAAATTATTACTAAGAATACCAGGCTTTATTTTGTTAGAACAGTATTTCAATATAAATATCCTACACACATATCTACCTTATAGATAAAGTTTTAATACAAAAATCTGATTTTCTTACCTCCTTCCATAAGCTGAGACCTATTATAGTGGGCACAGCCATACTCAGAATAAGAGCCTAAAACATGAAAGCAAAAGGGTTATGAGTAAATACATTTCAGATTGTACTTTAAAGTACTAGACACTGACTCTGGGACCAAGCGCATACCAATAGTTACACAAATTTAAGTCAGCATGAAACCTAGCTCATGAAGTGAGATGGCTGAAGACCAATGATAAATTTAAGACATATTAAACTGGAGGTAAAGTGATACATATTTACTATATAATTATAAGGCAGAACATAAAAACAGTAACACACATGTATTTCAAATAGCAGATCAATATTTGACAATTTTGACAGGAATTTAAGTTATGAAGAGTACACAAAGGTTCCTGAACAGCTACCTAAAACACTAACAACAGTAACAAAAACACAATGGAATAACATAGGCAAAATAGCTAATATACATCAATATACTAGCATGGTAAAATAAAAATGTATAAATTCCTTGGGAAAAAACTGGCAAAATACAACATGACTAATATTAAAGGTAATTATTCATCATCTTTCTTCCCAAGTCTTTCTCCTTATTGTCCCGTGTTCATTGGTGTAAACCAGAAACATAGAAAACAACAATGATTTCTCCCTTTTTCACACTTAACAGGCACCAAGTCTTATTAATCTTCTAACTATTCTTTTCACTCCAGTATAGCACAGTATGAACTGAATGGGCTTTGCAATAAGAAAAACCTAGGTGTGAATCTTGATGTCCAGCCGTATAAGCTATGTGATCTCAGGAAAATTATTTGACCAGTGTAGGCTTTAGTTTTTTTTTGTCTATAAAATACTGATAATAAAACTTAGCCAATAGGTGTTTGTAGGGGTTGAGTAGCATGTGAAATGCTTTGAAAAATACCTGACACATGTTGAGCACTCAATGAATTAAAGCTTTTGTTACTTTCATCTACCATGGCCTGTACCTGAGTGACAGCATCTTTCCTGGCTCCAGTCTGTCACCGTAAGTCTATCATTCAAGGAACTGTAAGGGTGAGCTGAGAGAAAACTGTAAGTCTGTCCCTCACACCCCTGCCTGCAATCTCCATGCCTTCCTACTGCCTCTAGGGTAAGACCAAGTGCCACAGCAGACACTGAGAGGCCTCTGTGACCTTATCCTCTTCAACTTCTCCAGTCTCATTTCTTGACCAGCCCTACCTCGCCTCACATTTTATGTGCTAACAAAACTAAATGTATCATGCTTTTTCTTTTCCTCTGTTTTTATACCCTTTGATTACATCATTCTTTGCCTATCAGTGTTTATTCCTTCTAGCACAAATACCCTTTTTTTCCCCCTTCATTTGACTAATAACTTAGCATCTTTCAAATGTTATACTGGAAAGTCTTAAAAACTGAATTAGGTATCCCTTCTCTGTGTTCCAATAGCATCAATACTTTTTAAAAAAATATATGTTTTTATTGATTTTTAGATAGAGAGGAAGGAAAAAGGAGAGAGAGATAGGAAAATTGATGAGAGAGACACATCAATCAGCTGCCTCCTGCATGTCCCTATCGGGGATCGAGCCCACAACCCAGGTATGTGCTCTTGACCGGGAATCAAACCCGGGATCTCTTGGTCCATGGGATGACACTCAACCCACCGAGCTATACCAGCCAGGCGCATCAGTATTTTTGATTAGCTACTTTTATGATCAGGAGACCATAATCTACATGATGAAATTAATCATGTTTTATTTATCTTTGTACTCCAAGCACATTGCACACAGCAGGCAGTATAAGTGCTCCATTCACACTGAAAATATACCAGAGATCTCAATCAAACCAGAGATATAAAAATTAATTCTTGATAGCCTCTCACAGTACTGATTCACTTTCTTTACCTTTTATGTTTTAAGTTGTCTGCATTAAAATGCATTTCTTTTACACTTAGAAATTATTAAAAAATGTTTTCCACAGGATCTCTTTTTCTACCCATAAGTTATAATGTGACTTATTCACGCTATTTCAGTGGTATTCAATGTGGTTTCCATTTACATTAACTAGAAGAGAAACAAGTACTTAACCTAAAATAACAATGACTCACCAACAACACTGGGTGTACAGTTCGTAATCGAAGCCACTTGAAAAGTGTCGTCCAAAGTTCAGGAGAACAAACACCAAATGCTGCTAACATGCACACATAAGGAGTCCAGAGGTATTTCAAGCTGGAAAAGACAAAAGGAGTCACATATGAGATATCCTATGAACATCAATACTACAACCTGGTTTGTAACTCCAGGAGATATCATGCACACTGAATTATATTATAGAATATCCCCTCGAACACAAACTCTCTGCTCTAGAGATTAGACCATTATGCAAATCCACGGATTTCTCTGTATCCAACCCTTGCTCGCTATTTTATTGCAAGAGCCTATAAATTAACATCTCTACCTTTAGACTCTCCTCCAGCTCAACCAAATGCCAAATGAATCTTCTTCAAACATAACTATAAGACACTTTCTGTTCAAAATTCTAATGGCTCCCCAGTGCCTACTGAAATAAGTGAAAACTCATCTAAATAGTTTTCAGGACCCTCTAAAGTACGGCCTTGACTTGCCTTTCCAGTTTTTTCTCCTACTACATCTCTAAATATGATTAGTGTTCCAGACAGTTTGCAGAACAATCTCAATGCTGCCATCCCATAATGCACATAAGTTTTTCCCTCCCGGTACAAATGTACCCCTCTGCCTTAGACTCTGATTCCCATTACAGCCAGACTCCTTGAAGTCCACACTCCTCTTTCTTTCTTCGCCTTCTACTCTATCTGATCACATCTTCCTTTAAAAAGTCCTCCTTTGGCTCTGAGTTGCAGCTCTTCCTATGGTCCCTCCACCACAGTCCCTACTGCTACTCATGCAGTTTCCAATTCCTAAATATTTTAGTTTTAGCCCCTTTCCTCCATCTCCATTGCTTCTCTCCTCTAAATTCTACTGTGACACCTTCTTAATGGCTTATTTTCTTCTAATCTTGTTTTGCTCAAATCTTTCTCAATTTTTGCTGCCAGAGAGATCTTACTAAAAAGCAATCTGATCCTGTCAAATTTTGGCATTAAACCACCTAATCTGGTCCCTATTTATTTTTCTAGACATAATCTCTTGCTACTTCCCTCTTATAGTTCCCAAAAAATACTTCTTCCCAAATTACATATACACAAGGAAAGTGACAGCCAGGCCAATCTCTATTTCTCTCTCAATACTGTCACCCCAGCCCTAACCGGTTTGGCTCAGTGGCTAGAGCGTCGGCCTGTGGACTGAAGAGTCCCAGGTTCGATTCCGGTCAAGGGCATGTACCTTGGTTGTGGGCACATCCCCAGTAGGGGGTGTGCAGGAGGCAGCTGATCAATGTTTCTAACTCTCTATCCCTCTCCCTTCCTCTCTGTAAAAAAATCAATAAAATATATTTTTAAAAAAATACTTTCACCCCATTTAGGAAATGTTCCTTAAACTGCACTCTCCTACCCACCTCCACAACTACTAGTAAATGCCTTTGTAAACTCCAGTTAGGTTAAAAAAGTTTATAGACTTTGAGTTTATTATATAAAGTTTTACACATGTATTCTTGAAAGTATCCACCAATTACCATTTGAAAGGACACTTCTTAAGAAAATAGGTCAGCCCTGGATGGTGTGGCACAGTTGATTGGGCGTCATCCATGTACTGAAAGTTTGCCGGTTTTATTCCTGGTCAGGGCACATGCCCAGATTGCAGGCTCGATCCCAGGTAAGGAGCATGCAGGAGGCAGCCAAACTATGTTTTGCATTCATATCAATGTTTCTCCTCTCTCTCTCTCTCTCTCTCTCTCTCTTTTTCCCCCCTTTCCTCTCTCTCTAAAAACTCAATAAAAATATATTTTAAAAACTTTAAAAATAGCCGAAACCGGTTTGGCTCAGTGGATAGAGCGTCGGCCTGCGGACTGAAGGGGTCCCGGGTTCGATTCCGGTCAAGGGCATGTACCTGGGTTGCGGGCACATCCCCCAGTGGAGATGTGCAGGAGGAGCTGGTCGATGTTTCTCTCTCATCGATGTTTCTAACTCTCTATCTCTCTCCCTTCCTCTCTGTAAAAAATCAATAAAATATATTTAAAAAAAAAAAAAAAAAAAAAAAAAAAAAAAAAAACTTTAAAAATATATCATTAATTGGCTGTCTCCTGCATGCCTCCTCCTGGGATCAAGCCAGCAACCAGGGCATGTGCCCTGACCAGGAATAAAACCAAGACCTCCTGGTTCACAGGTTGATGCTCAACCACTGAGTCATACCGGCCAGGCAATAAAATAATATATTTTTTAAATAGGTCAAATAAAGTACACTTACCCTTCTATAATCATTGCAAGAGAACCAAAAAAAATAGTATGAATCACATGATAAATTATTTCTGGCCTTTCTCCAATTCGTCCATCTTCAAGAGTAACAGTTTCTTTCAGGGACTCACCACTACAGAAAGGAAATATGTTTTTTACTAAAATAAACATTTGAAAAATAAAAGATCTTAAATTTCCTCATAAAAAGAAATATCAGTAGTTCTGATCATTTGAAAGTATATTCTGCTAGTCCAATACTAACTTTCCTATCTCCAAGTCTTTGCAAATGGCTTTTAGAACCTAAATGTAACTGACTCAGTGAAGACTAAAAATGAAAGTTCAGAAATATAATTTAAAAAGTGTTTTAGGATCCTTTCCAAGATCAATTATCACTCACTAGTAATTGCTAAACCAATATAGTTAAATCATAATTTAAACAACTAAGCTCTCAAAATCAAGATGCCACACACAATCCCTTTTCAAACATGATAAACATTTAAAAAATAATCAAACTTTATAATTAAAATCACTTATACTACAAGCTTCATTGAGGTTAAATAGAAAAAATTATTCTTATGTTAAGTAAAAATCTGAGTAAATTATCAAGTTTGTCAAAGTTTACCTGATTACTTAAATATTACTCCTAAACTAAATCTGGATATTACATGTTTAGATTTATAAACTTAAATTTTATCTGGTTAACTTATATTTTTTACATACTGATGAAGAGGGAATGAAATTAGAAGCTCTAAAACAAATACACAAATATTGGAGGAATATTAAACATAAGTATTTTATATACTATATTTCCATAACATATTAGAAATGTGATTGATTCTCATTGGTACTTACTTAATTCTCCTAAAAATAACTTGCATCATAGAAAGAAAACAAATAATTAACACTAAAATATAGAAAGGTAGTAAAGAAGACTGTGTCAATCGCAAAAAAAATTCTTGAGATGGTGCCTGTAGGGATTCTTGACATAGGAGCCAATTCATTGTGAAATTCCTACAGAAGACAAAAAGCATTTTAAAATAACAAGTGTTGTAAACTACTGACCATAAGAATATTTTTTTTTAATCTCAGTAGAAACTTAGATAAAACAAAACACATTTCTTAAATCCATTCACTTATAACAGCCAGACCCCACCCTTTACAAGTGAAGACAATAGCATTTATGACATCTCCTCAACAAACTGCTCCAGTAAATGTGAAACTGTGGCTTTCTGTTACCAAGGAATGCTACCATCTCTAGAGCCCAACACAGTTTTAAGGGAGTTCCACTTTTTATTTGTATCTGGAAGACAATAAAAAATTCAGCTGTCCAACCTCTACATCTGCACTATCCACTATGTTAACTACTAGGTACATGTGGCTATTAGCTCTTGAAATGTGGCCAATATATACCCTGGATTTCAAAGATAAAAAAAGCATTTAAAAATACAATATATGTTAATTTTTAATTGTTTATACATTAAAATAATATTTTTGATCTGTTGGATTAAATAAAATACATTACTAAAATTAAATTTACTTTTTTCTCTTTACTTTTTTAATATGGCTACTAGAAAATTATTTATGTGGCTCACATTATTATTAGATAGCCCTGATTTTAATAAATGTAACTCAACTGGTACCTCTTTTTTTAAAAAAAAAAATATTTTATTGATTTTTACAGAGAGGAAGAGAGAGCGATAGGTAGAAACATCGATGAGAGAGAAACATCCATCAGCTGCCTCCTGCACAGCCCCTACTGGGGATGTGCCCACAACCAAGGTACATGCCCTTGACCAAATCGAACCTGGGACCCTTCAGTCCGCAGGCCGACGCTCTATCCACTGAGCCAAACTGGTTAGGGCTGGGACCGCTTTTAAAAAGAGGTATGTAATTACTAAGACAGAAACCATAAAATTTGATATGTAAACCTTTTGAGCTATGAGAAACAGGATAACCATTTTTTTACCCTAAGCTAAATATGAGCAACAAGATGCCCAATTATATGTAGTTTTATCTGCATTCTCATTCCCAATCCAACAAGTTGTGTGTTTTTTTTTCAATTCCATTTTATTCTTAATCCCTAGCCCTGGGGAAGGAGTTAAGAGATGGAGTGATGTTCAGAAGTGCTCATGGACTCATGGAGAATGCCTGCTTCAAAAATCACTGGATTTAGAATAAAAGGTTAAAGTTTCACAATGTGTTAAACAGCAATACAACTGTATCAAAGAAGCTGCCATCAAAATATCTTGCACTTACAATAAAGGCACATTTTTAAAATCTGCCTATTAAAGTTATTAATTCTATAACGGTCCAATTCAAATCCCAATTTAATGAGTATCCTTTCCATACCCCCAGTCTCAGCCTTTCCTTCTCAATATTCCCACAGCACTTTACCTATCCCTCAATGATCGTCCTTAATGCAATCTGCCATATGTTAGATTGCAGTCATTTTTTTAACCCCCAGAGTACCTGGCCTAGTTCCTGCATATCCAATAAATATTTATTAACATTTCATTAGTGGTTCCTGAAAGTCTGTCTCAACAGAAATGTTTCCTAAAATACTGGTGAACTCCAAATCCTAATATCCAATTGGCACACTTCAGCATAGGGCATTTACTGTTTATACCAGCCATGTTATTATTTGTACAAAAACTATTAATGAAAAAGAAGAAAAGAAAGTATTTAATGAGATGGCAATATTCTTAAGGACAGGAACCATATCTTATTCTTTTTAAAAATATATATATATTTTTACTAGAGGCCCGGTGCATGGATTCGTGCACCGGTGGGGTCCCTTGGCTGGCCTGCGCTCTCTTGCAATCTGGGACTCCTCGGGGGATGTCAGACTGCTAGTTTCGGCCCAATCCCCGCAGACAAGGCCAAGGGACTCCCCTGCTGCATGAATCCATGCACTGAATCCATGCACCAGGCCTCTAGTATGCATATAAGATCTTTGGTTAATCTCTTCCCACCCTTTCCCCACCTTCCCTCTGAGATTCATCAGTCTGTTCCACGTTTCCATGCTTGTGTGTTGAACATCTGCCCCCTGGTGGTCAGTGCGCATCATAGCTACTGGTCAAATGGTTGCTTAGGCTTTTATATATACAGATTAATTTCAGAGAGGAAGGGAGAGGGAGAGAGAGATAGAAATATCAATGATGAGAGAGAATCATTGATTGGCTGCCTCCTGCACGCCCCCCCCTCCCCCTCCTGGGGATCCAGCCTGCAACCCGGGCATGTGCCCTTGACCTGAATTGAACCTGGGACCCTTCAGTCTGCAGGCCAACACTCTATCCACTGAGCCAAACCAGCTAGGGCCATGTCTTATTCTTAAAACACATAATACATCACCTTGTGAAATAAGTCTAGAAGCTGACATGCTGAATAAAGGGGCTGACATAATATCAACTAAGAAACAAGGACAAAAGCAGCCCTTAATCCTAGGCTCATTCTAGAGCAGTGATAGCAAACCTTTTGAGCTCAGTGTGTCAGCATTTTGAAAAACCCTAACTTAACTTTGGTGCCGTGTCACATATAGAAATTTTTTGATCTTTGCAACCATAGTAAAACAAAGATTTATATTTTTGATATTTATTTTATATATTTAAATGCCATTTAACAAAGAAAAATCAACCAAAAAAATGAGTTCGCGTGTCACCTCTGACATGCGTGTCATTGGTTCGCCATCACTGTTCTAGAGTCTTCCAAGGTTAAAGGGAAAGAAAGTCAGTGAAAAGGGCAGAAAATTACAAATGTCTACAACCATTTTTTACTAATTGCTTGCTATGTATAAGGCCTACATATACCAATATCAATCAGGGCTTTCTAATATAGAACATGGCCTTCTAAAGGATCGTTTTATCTTAGACATACGTATGTATATGGCTTACACTTCAGAAGACTTCTCCATTGTTTAAACCATGCCAAATATTTTGTTAACTGTGATATATCACAACCTGAAATTACATGCACAGTATCTAAAATCCCATGTAATTGCAGCAAATGATAATAGGGTTCTGAGGTATATTATATGAATTAGAGAAATGTGCAGGTAAAATATATTTCCTGTTATGCAAATAGACTCTGTCAGAATGTAAAATCATGTATTTCATTTTAGGCTTCAAAATGTATTTAACAAACAAACAAACAAACAAAAAAGGCAAAACACTATACTTTAATTTTAAAAAACGTCAGCTTCTTAGCTGTCCTCTTAGTGCAGCAGGCAGTGTGTCAGTCTCATAAAAAGTCAGCTTCTTCTCCAATCACCATTGTAACCCCAAGATGAGATTCTTCGCTATGAAATAAATATCTTACTGCCTAACCCCTTTTTTGTGCCCATATCCTTTTAAAAAATATATCTTTTTTATTGATTTCAGAGAGGAAGGGAGAGGGGGAGAGAGATAGAAATATCAATGATAAGAGAGAATCATTGATCGGCTGCCTCCTGCACACCCCACACTGGAGATTGAGCCCGGAACCCGGCATGCGCGCTAACTGGTTCATAGGTCGATGCTCAACCACTCAGCCATGCTGGCTGGGCCCCATACCCTTTTTCATGTAAGCATTTTGCCAGTGTAGTGGTTAAAATTACTGTGGTTCTTTATTCATTTTAAATCTTTCATTTATTCTGACCTTAGATTAGACCATTATTCCTTATCAAGGGAGAAAGTAACCTCTAAATACTTTGATGCTACTAAGGTTTAAGTATATCTAATTTCAAGAAGACCTAAATTTTTTTAATGAGAGAAAACATTAATGTCAGATTTTTTCTAGATATAATATCCCAAATTACTTATTTTCTAAGTGGTATTTAGTTAGGTGTGTACTTCCTCCTTTGATTATTTTTGTTCTTTATCTTCTAAGTCAGCGGTTCTCAACCTGTGGGTCGCGACCCCTTTGGGGGTCAAACGAACCTTTCACAGGGGTCGCCTAAGACCATCAGAAAACACATATATAATTACATATTGTTTTTGTGATTAATCACTATGCTTTAATTATGTTCAATTTGTAACAATGAAATTGGGGGTCACCACAACATGAGGAACTGTATTAAAGGGTTGCGGCATTAGGAAGGTTGAGAACCACTGTTCTAAGTGGTATAGAATTAGGTAAACTTAAATAATCTAAAACTTACTTAGTCATATTTAGCCCAAGTTTCACTTCAAGGAATTTCAGCATGTGCCCATTTTCTTTGTGTGGGACAAATGTCTGGAGGAGAAAAACACAAGTTACCACAAAAAACGATTTGCTATACTTACAGCAATATGCTATTGTCCAATACTACAAACAGAAAACACAGCAAGACTACAAAACAAAAAATATGAATGAAATAATACATGGTGTAACCGTGAAGCAAGGAGATCTATACGTATAAGTCCATCACATTACTTTACACTCAAGCCTAAAATTATAATGGGGTAGTAAGATTTCAACCTTATCCCATCTGGCTTAAGTAACCTACCTACTCTTCCAAATACTTCTGACTCATCTCAGTTGATTCCATGTATTACTTAATGTTAACTGCATAACACTGACTCTTTAAATTAAATGGAAAATAAACCAGATGTATTTTTAAAGTATATCCAGAAAAGAACCATAATCCTATTTTCTAACTTAATATGCTAGGTATGATCACTGGTCAACTCAAAATTTTACTGTACAAACTATTATCTTGCTATCTCATTACCCTCATTAAAATTTAGTCCACTCTATTTCATTATTTCATTTGTTTTGCTACATAAAGACACAGAGGTACTTACCTTCATTATAATATTCAATGTCACTGTCAGAGTACACACCAAATAAAAATGAATAAATTTCATTATTTTAGCTACGAAAGTTCTTTTCTTCACATTTAGCTGTGGGGGGAGGAAGGGAATAAAATGAACAAAGAAGTGAGGCATAAAAAACTAACAATTTAAAAATTCACCATAAGAATGATAAAAAGGCAATTCTAATTACCTGAAGGCACTTAACAAGCATTAAGGCTACTACTAAACTTAATAAAGGAGACACCAATAAAGCTGAATTCTCGAACTGCAGTAAATATCCCAGAAACAGAGAAAATATATAGATTTTATAAACTTCATGAACCTGTAGGGACAAAAATAAAATGAATAAGAATAAAATGAATTTTATTGTACATATTTTCATTAGTTTTGTTTAGATTTTACTATAATTACAAGATAAATGCTCTATTATCATTTAGGACAGTGATGGCGAACCTATGACACGCGTGTCAGAGGTGACACGCGAACTCATTTTTTTGGTTGATTTTTCTTTGTTAAATGGCATTTAAATATATAAAATAAATATCAAAAATATGTCTTTGTTTTATTACGGTTGCAAATATCAAATAATTTCTATATGTGACACGGCACCAGAGTTAAGTTAGGTTTTCAAATGCTGACACACCGAGCTCAAAAGGTT